TTTCCATGCTGTCAACTCCAAACACCCAACTCTCTCGCTCCCCTAAATCCTCCGGTGCGTCTTTTCATTGCTCCCTCTCTCTCCCTATCTGCTCACCCCCTCTTTCTTCCACCCCCCTCCTCTCTCCGTGTTATGAAGGTCAACTCCGACAACTCTCTTCCTTATTTGGAAAGTTTCTCCATTCCATGCAGGTCATTCTAGCCCTATCGACCAATCCTGTGGCAGTTAGTCTGGTGTGTCAGCCAATCGTGTCTCTTCCATATCCTTTTAAGGACTGCCCATCTCTGACTCTGGAGGTCGATGTGAAATTATCTGCTTTCCTGCTCTCTTGTGTCTCCGGTGACTTCACATAACTTTTTCGTTGCTATTGCACAACCTCCTTCTCTCCCTCTGATGACAGCTAACTCTCTGCCTCTGCCTTTTTTCCATTTGCTGATGATTAACCCCCCATCCATGCATGTGGCCTGCATCGGTGAAGACACCCATCCACTGATCCAAAGTCATTGTTTTACTTCCGTTTTTAAATAAGACATTTGATCGTGATGAACCACAAGCAAAGCTTTCAGTGTGAAGCCAGCACCATATGAGGTTATTTAACATGCGTGTTTCCAGCTCTCCTTAAAACCACAAGCAACACCTTGACAAGAAAGTGATTGTTAATACTTCATTAGAGAGTTCATGACTTGCACCTCGTAAACAAACACGCTGCTGAGAGGAAGCTCTGAGTCACGGCGCAGATATGCGACAAATCCTGGCAACCAAAACTCCCTGCTCAGCAGTGGAACACAGCGAGAATAGGTCCTGCTTTAAATGTAACACAGCAAGCTTGAAATCCTACAAGAAGTTTGATTTAAAAAGACTTGTATTCAGACGGACAGACAGCAACAAGCAATCCCCTGCTGCTGCCGCTCTACACTGTAAACACAAAGTAAAGTGTGTGAGACAGTGGGAGGCCATTGAGCGCTGCTGGCATCCAGCGCTGTGTTGCCTTCAGTTTGTTTGCTGTTCCCCTGACAACAACCTCGCTGGGGTTAAAGAGGTTTGGAGCTGTTGCAGAAATCATTTAATCTCAGTGGTATGGCAGTTATGTCAACCGACATGGATTGAAAGGTATAAGGTCAAGCTGCATGCATTAGGCCACTCTTCCTCTTTATCACTGAGAACAGAAATATGCAGAGCCTGAAAATTAACACATTGTAGTTGTGAGCTCCTGTGGGTCTGTGTGAGTGAGCAAGGATTCAATATTGTGGCATATTGAATTTTGGTGGAAGTGTATTGTGATCATAGCTCGTCAACTATTTATGTCAGACACTGTTTTTCCTCACGATTGTTATAATGTTGTTATTTCGTCGATGTGCTCAGCTACACCCAACATCTATTGCACTTTGACCTTGTACAGATTGTTAAGCCCTATGAGGCAAAATGTGATTTGTGAATATGGGCTATACAAACAAAATCTGATTTAACCCTTAGAGAATAATAATCAAGGTCCTGTGAAATGCCAATGTGTGCCTGTTTGACCTCATCTGTGATCTCAACACACTGAATAGAAATGAGAGGAAGAAAACACACACGTCGATAGTAGCTAAGCATTGAGCTCACACATAAATGCAGACTGTGGAATGAAATCCGTGCAAAGGAATAATTTCGATTGTCAAAGTTGATTCCCGGTCTTATGAAAGAGAGATTAAGATGTGGAATGAGGATAATTACTGCCTGTGCTAATTGAGCGTGGTGTGTGATGCCCACCCAGACATTATCCTAACCTGTAATATAATGCTTTGCCCCTATTATCAAGGTCAATATCACAGTGGTCACACCTTCAAAGTGCCACACCGGCACTTTTCACTGTCTCCTCCTTTGTCTTGTAGTTTCAAACTAGGTTAAGTTGTCTTGAAATAGTAATAATCACAACTATGTCTTAATGTTTCACTGCATATGTATATGAATAGGTGACTCAGCAACACAAGGAGAACTTTATTTTAAAGCTAAAAGACCAAAATCAGGTCACAAACATGTGATAACACACAACCACATGCATAAGTTGCTCTTTTTTACTAGAAAGAGTCAATCATTACACCAAAAATCTCAAAAATGAACTACACTTGAACCTTGAACCTTAACACCAGTACTCTGGTTTTTGTCCCCATAAGAATAATAACTGAAACACACACACACACACACACACAGATTTACAAGCTCCAGGTGCTATCAGTCCATCATGATCTGACTTTATACAGACGGTCACAGATGTAGCGTTAAACCCTGGAGAACGCTGAACAGACGCAGTTATGATGTTGAATCAGACGCGATCGTAACTCTGTCAAAATGCTCTTAAGTTGAGATACAAAGTTTCATTCAGCTGATTAATGGCTCATCTCAAAGTATCACCTTATGGTTTATTAACTATACAGTTGCCCTAAATCCTTTCATATCTTTATTCAGACCCCACAGCAGGAGGCCCACCTTTGCCTTCCAATGCCAATAAATGTCACAGTTTGAAACATATTGTTATCAAAACCTTTCTGCTTTGTATGGTTAATCCGTGAAGCAGGTTATGGTTGTCTGACTGTAGTCAGTGTGGAGAGCTACCGAGGTGAAATAAATGTATCGGCTATCAGTTTTTAATTTATCTTCATTCTTATGCAGATAGCTGTTAATAGAGAATAACCAAAATGTCATCTTGACCCAAAACACAGATACAGAGTATCACTGTTTGTGTTTTGTGTGAAGAAACGCCAATCCTAGCTGACATTGAGCAAGAGGTGGGTCACACCCTGGACAAGTCACCACTGTACTGGGCCAACATACAGAAACAAATATCCATCCACACTCACATTAACACTCCTATCAACACAACTTCAATCTGCATGTCTTTGGACTGTGGTGCTTGAAGAAAACATGCAAACTCCACACAGAAGGTTCCAACCACCGCACCACCCTGTGTGTCACCATGAAAATCCAAATCCATCAAATTCACAGACAGAAGCAAGAAACCCAAATATTATTTGTTTCTATGACACTTTAAAATGATGTGGATGGGGCTTTGAGTTACAAAGGAGCATACAATGACTACTTTCTCTTTCACAAAGCTGAACCATGTTTCAGATCCTTCCTCATTCCTACTAATGTCTGGCATCAACCTTTGGCCAGGCATCGACACCCAAATACCTTCCTGCCCTACTCTCTCTTCCTTCAGCACAGAGAAAACAGCAGGTCTGTTTTCACAGCTCGGCTCTCCTGCAGTAGCTCCAGTCTGCCAAATCACACAACGACTTCCTCCACCTCATCAGCCCAGTGTTGTTGAAGCAACGCTCATCCCTCACACACGCTTCCAGCTTGTTATTCCTGCAATTTAGAGCCATTTACTTTAGATTTGTGATCCCCAGTAGCTATAAACACCGGCGTTAAGGCTATAACATTATTCGATGCAACTGTCCCTTTATAAATAATGATGGATGCTGTGAAAATCCACAGTAATTATGGGGATATTTGCATCTGAGTCACTTTTACTTGAGATTTACAGTTTAAATGTGGATAGAAACCCTAAATGAACTGCTTACACATGTCGTAAAACTCCATCCATACTGATCCCTGTTGCGTTGATGCAGTAAAACCTATTACTTATTAGCCTGTTTCATGATATCGACTTATTCTAAAAATAGCAGACACTGGGCTCAGACTTTCCACCCTATTGAATTAATGGCAATTCAACAAAGTGGTTGGTTAGAAAGTTGTGGTGTTTCATAAAAGGAACTCCAGTAAAATGTTTAAAAAAAGGCAATTAAAGAAACAAACTGGGATCATGTTTCAAAGGCGACAAGAGACAATATATCAGTCTGTATGGAATGTGGCAAACAGGATATGATGAGCCCAGTGATAAGCTGGGGGGGAGGCGTCAGGTCGAGTGGTCAGCCTCTGTTCCTACACGTTACCCGAGGAAAGAGTCTGAGCTGTGGTTAATGGCAGAGCTGCTGTTTTTACTGTGTAATTAGAGAATTTAAAGGGATACGGCAGGAGAGGGACAGCCGATGCTTTCTAACTACTTCACAGTTGGGAGCTGATTGTTTTTAGCAGCGTATCCATGTTGTTATTGTGGAAAGACTTAGGGAGAAGCAGCTTTTCTGTCTCCGTGCTATTTTGAGAGCCGCAAAAACGAGAGCAAGAAATTTAATCCAGGGTCTCTCGTACATCAAGTTGTCAAGGTGTTTACGTTTCCATCCCTGTCAAAGGCCTAAAATTGAATCTCATATCTCTGTGATTGACATAAAGGCTTTTTAGAATGAACAAGTAAAACATTAAGATAGTCCTCAGCAGCATGTCTCTGGTCATCTTTAATATTTTAAAGTTGCATTTTAAGTTTAAATAAGTAATTGAAATATTGAGTATTATACAAACATTGATCAACTGGACATGACATAACTGGTATAGGATAGTTTCCTATTGTGAGGCCCATTTACAAACTGTAGGTCAGATCTTCTGTTTCATACAAATTTTCTGCCAACAAACACTCACAATAAATTTAGAGTACATCATAAAAGCCGCTCTGCTCTTTTCAAATTTGACTCAGGCAGGGGCGGGACCAGGTGGGCACTGGCTCCAGCTGAAATCAGTTCTGTTGGACATATAATTGGTCCCTCTCTGTAAACTGTGGCCACTTTATGGCCCCTGATTTAGAAAAACTCTAGATCTACCACTGAAATTAGGTATGGCTGTGGTTCAGAACTCTGAACCATGAATAGCTGCTGATGGCTGTATGAGCAGTATGTGATGTGTGATAGAGAAATTGCTGCACATGGATGAACTGTATGAATGTGTGTGATGGCAAAACTGTGCCGTAAAGCACTTTGAGTGGTCATCAGACTAGAAACGTGCTGTACAAATACAGGCCATTTACTTTCATATCATTCTGTGTTTGCTTCCATGATAGATCTTTGAATAAAAGCCATGTGGTGCCACTCATCACATCCAGAGCATCACCCTCACAGCCAAATATTTACCTGTAACTTTCTGTCTTCTCCTCTATATTCTTAGCTCTGGAAGCACAGAATTAACAAGTCACAACATATATGTCAATATGCAATGGCACCCATCATGAGGAATCAAACCCACTACACATGCAGTGCAAAACCAAGCTTTGCTCTTCTATAACCCAACTCTAGTAAATGCAGCCATGAGCCACATGACAACACTGATCACCATCTGCTTCTGATGGCATTTACAACTTGCATTGTTCAAGACATCACATTATTATATTAAAAACAAAACTATGAGCCTTGCAAGCAGCTCTTTGAGGCTGATATGTTAAACCAAACACTCTTTTGACCTGATGATAGTAAATGATGAAAGGTCAGGGGATTAAACTTTTTACAGTTCATCCACTGGGGTCCATGAATGACATTTCTGGTATGATGCTGATATTTGACAATTTTGAGCTGCTGGTTGTGCTGAAGAGAAAGTCAGGATATTAGAGTTTATCCTGAGGGGAACATGAATAGTTACCTCCACCAAAGAGGTTATGTTTTCATCTGCCTTTGTTTGTTAATTGGCAGGATTGCACAAAAACTACTGGACGGTTTTTCAAGATGGGCGTGGGTCAGAGAAGAAGAGAAGAAAAAACTGAATGCCCAAGGTGCAAGGTTGTCTGAAGCAAAACAAAGAAGAGCTTGCACACATATGCCACTCCATGCCACAGAAAATGTAATTAAAATATGTGGGATCTTGCTTAAAGGACCTGATGAAGATCCCAGTCTGAAAAAGTACTGTAAAAAAAAAGTACTGTCAATCCATTCAATATAATCAGATATTTCAATCTGGACCAAAGTGGTGGCTGGAGTGACCAAGTGAGTATCCTGGTAACCTCTGAGAATAAGATGTTAACCATGCAATCGCATGTTCCATCTGATCCCTCAATTTTTTTCTCCAAATGTTTCGCCAGCTCTCTACTTCTTTTTCTAATAAGTGTAGAGAAAGAAAACAAAATCCCCATGCACAAGAGCCACGTTCACTGCAGACATGTCAAGACACAGGCCCGCTGAATAAAAAGCCTTTCAATGCCCAACTCTCACTAAAAACAGTGACATCCTACCTGATTGGTATTGAGCTCACAGAAAAAGACATCACAAACAATCGCTGTGTCCTGGGCTGCTTATGCAGTCCGAGGTCACACAGAAACAATAGGAGCCATCCAGCAAAAAGCCACGCAGATCTGTTTACAGCCACAGACAGACAGCAGCTGGCAGACTCACCCTGGCACACACGATGCCACACTGACACCAGCATAAAGGCAGGGGAATGCTTTTGTTCTAAAAGGCCTGGGATTCCCCTGTTAACCCTTTCACAAAACTGAGACACAATGCTATCATTTCAACCAGACCTCAGAAAGGCCGCCTAGTCCGTCTCTCTCCCACCAGACTAGCCTGCCCCCCAGGACACGACAGGTACTCACAGCTTTGGTTTGGGCTTGGTGGGCAGTGGAGGGCCGTCCTTCGCGGGGGATGGAGACAGCTTGTCTGAGGTTGGAGGTGAGTCTGGTGTCACCTGAGCTGCGAATGGGACATCTGCCATAGGGACAGACTGTGGTTGAGGTGGGGGTGGTGGCGGAGGTGGCGGTGGTGGTGTGGCTTCTTTAGGTGGGCTGGGAGGTGGCGGCAGATTCTGGGGTTGGCCATTCTGTGTAAACTCTTTCCCCTTGTCATTGACCTCCACCTCTGAGCCCACTTGTATTGGAGGCAGCGCTGACACGCTGGGCCAGATCTCCAGCTCCTTGACATGGAAAGCCTCGGACCTGGGATGAGTCAGCGTCTTGGGTGGCAGCTCCAGGAGGCTGATCTCTGTAGGTGGGGGAGGCGGGGGGAAGGCTGCAGTATCCTCAAACCCTGAGCTATCACCAGACATGCCATTACTGGATGAGTCCTCAGCTACTGAGGGAAACAAACAAGAGGAAAGTGGAAAATTTTGGACTTTAATGTGATGTTTTTCTTCTGGAATCCACATAGCTCAGTAAATGGAGATTCCACACACACACACACACACACACACACACACACACATGACTGTATCAAAGTTGATCTGTGTAAAGTAACAGCTGGATCCAGTCAGACTGATGCAATTCCTGTTTATTCAGCCTTTCCTGTACTGTACATACACAGTTCTGTCTGTAAGAATGCACATCGAGATCAACTCACATCTTTTCCCGTAAAGACTTCACAATAACAGACAGGACAAAGGAGGAGGTTCTTGTTGAGACATAACATATGAGTTTTACCTCTGACCCTAAACCACAGGACCTCAGGGGAAGTCCACAGGGGAACAACAGCACCATCAGAGGTCAGAGAAATGACCAAACTCTGAATCATTAGTCAGATTACTTTTGTTGTTTTGCAACTTTTGCATTTGATTTAGATTAGTGTAACAATAATGTTTATACCCACTTACATTTGAGGCATTCAAAATAATACACTGGTGATCAGTTCTGTCGTGATTTGATGTTACAGTATGAAGGACGCTGTTAATGTGTTAAAGGGCTTTTTTTTACCCTAACTTGAATCAAAACAAATTTTTCAAAACCACATATACATTTTTTTATAATTTGGGTGTTTTTTTTAAGTAATTTAACAAATTTGTTCAATGAAACTGGATCTTAAGGAACTCTCATATTGGCTTCTACACACCTGCAGTGACAGTGAGTTGGGCTGTGCTGTTTATAGATCCATATGGGTTGGATGCAGTGCAGCAGAACAGACCTCCATCCTCTGGAAAAGCCTCGGCTATAACCAGGGTGCAGATTTCCTCTTAAAAAAACAACAAAGGCGAGTATTAGAGTTAATGATCCTAAAGATTTTTGGCATTTTCCAACAAAAACAATACAGCAGGCTGTCAATACAGCTGGAAAGGAAGAGCGGTGGATTGACATGTTGACACTAGACAGATGATGGACATTTCATGTGGATGGTGAGTCTGACGCAGAGAGATAACAGACGAGCATGGATGTAACCTGCAATGAAGAGCAACCAGACACACAGACAAGTAAACAGTCAGACAGACAGACAGACAGACAGACAGACAGTCAGACAGACAGACAGTCAGACAGACAGACAGTCAGACAGACAGACAGACAGTCAGACAGACAGACAGACAGACAAAAAAACCCTGAAGCACAAATGTTCAAAGATGTCTGAGTGACTCACAGCCTTCAAGTAACACCTGACACGACCCCTGACTCACACAGGTGGAAAATGTGTGTGTGTGTCATTATTGATCTGTGTGTGTGTTTTTGTGTTTCAGTCTGCGTGTGGTAGGGCTTCGCAGACTTTCTCAGGGGCTCCCTCTGACTGGAGCAGCTGGAGTAGACTATGAGTGTGTTGTTGTGAGACACAGACTCACTAACTTGTGATTTGCCGTTGTCAAGTGAAAGCCTGTAGAGGATACTGAAATCATGGCTCTCAACTTGCGTCTCGAGTCAAACTAATCCATCAAACTAATCCTAATTTAAAACACTGACTCAGAGCGGTGTAATAATGACTGACTCTAGAGGAGTTGAGGACTGTACCTGGCTCAGCTGCAGATCGAGGCTCTGATTCAATGTATATTATAGGCAGAGGGGAAGAGAAGAACAGAAAAGTTTGGGTTTTAGCATATATGCATTATAAATTTAGTGCTTAGAAAGAAAAATGATTCAGCTTCATGATCTCACTTTTCTGAAGAATACGGAAATCGGGGGAGTCTAGGATCTCCTCTCCCTGGCGGTACCACTGGACCCGAAGAGGGGGGCCTCCACGGACCCTGCACTCCAGAACAACCACCTGGCCCTCAGACGCCTGGGCATCCTGCAAGAGCTACACAGAGGAGGCATTAATAAGCCAGAGACAAGTAAAAAAAGTACAGAGAGTTCATGAGAAGGAGAGAGTGAGTGACGTATGACGAGTTAAAGAGAAGAAAGTGAAACCGGTAATGAAAAGGATAAATCTACTTCAGAAGAGACAGATGGAAATAGACGTACAGTAGTTGGAGAGAGAAGGAGGGAGGGCTAATTAAAGTTCAGAGGACACACTCCTCTGTAATGTCACCACAAATTTCCATAGGTCTGGTAACCATCTTAACTACCATCAACTACCTGTCCACTGAAGGAACTTGAAAATAACATGACCATCCATTTGATCACCTTTGGATTTTACTCATGTCTCTTCAGGGAAATAACAGACTCACTTTTAGTTGGCTTTCTCTTGGTTGACATGATCTTTTAAAATATCACAGATACAATAATGTGTTAAAATAAGAACTTGACGTCCTCTGGCGTTTTATTGGATCTGTCTGGTTTAGATCTAAAAAATAGTCATAAATCAGATTGTGCATAATGTCCATTTGTTTTGTTTTCTAGACTAAAATGAGCATCTGTTTTAGTCCAAATAGCTGTCACCTATAACACTGACAAGTTAAAAGAAGAAAATAAAATCCTCAAGATTACTTTGTCAAAATATTGTATTTCAAGATTAAATCATTTCTGAAATATTTGGAAAACGATGAATAGAAAGTACAAATTCTATTTTGACAGGCTATTTTATCAACACTGCCAGATTAATATCTGCATATTGGAAGTTTATGAAAGTGGATCTCTCCTGAACAAAGATCACCTTCTGATTATGTGAAAGTATGTGTATCATGATTTAGTACATTTAGTTTTCCAAACTTTTTATTTAGTTCAACATTTTTAAATGACTTACCATTATAATATAATAAAATAATTATAATTATAATCCTCATCATCATTACATAGAAGAGGGTCTTTGCAGCAGAGCAGAGTCAGATATAGAGAAACATAACACTGAGATTTCCTGTGGTACTGTAAATAATTAAATTTAAGGTAGCTTAAAATAGCAGTTAGCTTTCAGTGTGAGGAGGAGGGAAACTATTCTGTTATGTGTTGTCAACACAGCTAAGATTAGCCTCTGCTATTCTGTTCATTTTCACTTGTATTTTATCTGCTTTAGTTATTCATCTATAAATGTCTGAAAGTGCATTTGGCCAATAATCCTCTTAATGTCAAAATCAGAGACCGTTCCTCTTACAAATGACGGTTGAACTCCTGTGTACAATCACTCATGTGACAGTTTAAAAGATTGCAGAACTAAAAAAAAACATCCTCATGAGGGTCATTGTCAACACGTTGTTGTCTCTTACTCCAGCTAACAGGGCCACAGTGACATACACTGCTACATCCATCAACAGGAAGCACTCAGCGTCAGTGGAAATGAATGTGCGTGTGAACCTGAGCTTCTCTCTCTCTCTGTGACTGTGTGCGTTTGACAAGAGGTGAGATTTCCATCATGGGTTTGAAAACGTATGTGTGTATGTATGTGTTACATGGGCGATGTTGCTGACTTCCCTGGAGGCTAACATTCTCTCTCAATGAGATGATTAAAGCCTGCGACAGCTTTTAAAGGAGGAGGGTGTAAGGTGGGGGGTGTTGAGGAAAAGCAAATGTCTTTTGGTAATGAAGTGGAAAATGATTTAGGGACTGGCTGAACTAGAGTGAAAGAGACCTGACCCTCATGGGTTTGGCAGGACTGTTTGAAGCCCTGCCTCGGCCCGTCTCAGACCCGCCATCACAAGACCCAGGGGGCATTGGGAATCGGGGGGGTGTTGAAGAGTCTGAGTTGGGAGAAGCAGATCTGGAGCTGGAGGAGCAGCAGCTCTCATCAAAGCTTTTATTTTATTTGACCCCCACAGGACTGCTTACTGTGTGATACGTCATGTGCACCAGGTTCTGTGTGTGTGTGTGTGTGTGTATGTATGTATCTGGGGCTGTTTCACTGTTTGAACTGAAGTCTCTTGGTTCCAGCTAAAGGAAATCAAATGTTTTAAACAGTATCACCTTAACTTTATGCAACAATTTGAGGAAGGCCTGTTCTGCTTCACCTAACTTGGAAAACTCAGTCCTCAGCCCTTTGGGATGAACTGATATGCAGATTGTAAGCCAGGTCTTATCATCATCAGCAAATTAATGCAGCCAGGCTCCAAACTCTTGTGGAAACACTTAACTGCTGTCAGAGCAGAAAGCAACAGATTTTTATACAACATGTTCAACAATCATGCAGTATTTATATAGTATTTGCCTCCACACACTTACCTTGGTGAATACAGGAGGGCCTGACCCCTCACTGACATACAGTGATGACACAGGGCTCTGCATCTAGAAGGGAACATATGCAGGTGGAGTCCATTCAGAAAGGTGTAGGCTCATGACACAGAGAAGAATTTTACAAATTTTTACCTTCACACCTCTCTGATTGTTGGTTGGTTTGTATGTTTGCTTGTAATCAAGATAGCATAAAAATAATTGAATGTACTAAAACAGGCATGCATAAGGGACTGATATTTATGAGTGTGTGAAATTTGGTGCAAATCCAAATCCAGATCTAGTGAATTTAAATGTGGTTTAATGAGGGGACTGTTGGGCCTTGGTGAAGGTACACACTCTACTGAGTCCCTTTATGGTTGACCATGTGTATGAGCCTGTGAAGCTGCACTGTACTGTGTACTGTAGGTGGTTTACCCGCTGCAGGGGCTGAGACAGGGACTGGACCAGAGTGGAGCGGCGAGGATGGATGTCAGTGGTTTTGGGTGATGATGAGCGTATGGTCAGGGACATTGACGTAGTCTTTTTCTGCACCCTAAAACAAGCAAAACATACATTAGCAAACACGTTTTTGAAGTCCATATGCTTTTAGTGAAAATGTGATACGTGACTCAAAGAAAATAGTCTCCCCAGCAATTAAGATGTCATCTTGGCTTCTGTATATAAACAGAAAAACTTCAGCAAGTAGTTCAGCTGGGGGCCGATGTAACAGATAATAGTCAAAAACATTTAGAGAACTAGAAAGCACTCAAACCCAGGCTTGTTAGATGAAGTGCACCATCCAAAAAATGCATTATTGTAATGGACTACAACACTATTGTTTCAGCTCTATAGCGTGCTAAAGAAAGGACATCAATCTGAGCAAAAACAGCAGGTTTCTATCTGTTGGGAATTAGAACCACAATAACAAGACAGAGTGGACGTGGCCAAGGGGTAAAAAGTTTAACATTTAGAAAAAGAAAAGTTAAGAGGACAAACCTGACATGGTGATTTTTTTTCTCTTACCATATTAAACCTCTCATTATTTAGATTGTGAATGAGGCCAGGGTTATGGCTCTTTTGGGGCATTTTAAGGGCTGAGTTAAACAGGAGCAGGCAGCAGACTTGATTAGCTGCTGCAGGGCTCAGTTAACCTGTTCAAAGAGTTCAAGGGTTCATTGGGTCGTGGGGTCGCAGGAAGCCATGCAGAAACACATACTGAGACATGGTTCCTGATCTGGATTTTGAAGCTGCTCCTTCTCCTTCTGAGTCTGATGATGAAGCTCCTATAATGGGACATGGATAGGAGCAATGATGGTTATTCATATATGATACAGGCTATTTAACATTCATTGCAAAAATCCTAACAGTGAACATGATTCAATGACAAGGGTTCTGTTGTTTTATTACTGTCCTAAATGCATGCCAAAATTATGACTATAAGCTGTGTCTCAATTCAAGGGTCGCATCTTTCAGAGGCTGCTGACTGACTGCATCCAATTTCAAAGGCTCCCTCAAATGCAGCTGAGAAATCCATCCTATCATTCCAGAGAAACAAAGGCTCACATGGGGGTGTCCTTCCTGGCCACACACATCCGGGACTCATGCGGATGTTTCTAAAAAAACGAATGATGACGGAAAGTGAGATGTCGGATGCTTGAGAATCACACTTCATTTAAACCGAACAGATAACTGTACAGATGTTAAAAAAACCAAGGGGCATTCCTGTTGTGTCCAATTACTACTCTGTTACTGGGCAACAGCAATAAGGGGGGACAAGCTGATCACAAGAATCCTCTGTAGACTATTTTGGTCGGTCTTTGTAGTCTGTGCAGCCCATGAAGGAGGCGGCCCCTGCGTTGGAACACAGCTTATGTGTTTCAGTCACAAGAAATGACCTTCGACAGCAATTCAATATTAACCACTAACACTGACAGGTCAGTTATGTGAGAAGAAGAGCAAGACTTGTGTTGTGCCATAAAGCAATATTCCCTTTTTCATTCCTGACCTTCAATGTAAACCTCTGCAGATGTATTGTCTGCTCCGAGACTGTTGGACGCCACGCAGGTGTAACGTCCCGTATCGTCCTCGAAGGCTTCAGTGATCACCAGCGTGTGCAGGTCACCATCCCTCCAGATCTGTATGTCAGGAGAGTTGTGCAGCTCTCGGCCTTCACAGAACCACCTGGTAGAGGAGGTGGAACTTTAACATTCTGTGCCAGTCGGAAAACAACTGTTTTGCATTACTGAGCAGAGCCTTGGAGCAATCGCCTGAAAATTCAAACCACAGTTGGATGGATACAGCAGGATTTAAAGAGTGTGACGGACATAGACACCACAATTATCCTTACTTTCTCTTTAAAGCAATGCTCCAAGATAACACTTTCTAAAACTGTGCCAAGTGATAAATTCAAAAAAGAAGATAAACAGACTTTCAAGCTGAAAAAAGTATGATAGGACTTGGAGTCTACAGCTGGGACGATGAGGCTTTTGCACTGTGCTTTACATGCTAACATCCATGATCACAACTGAGGCTTTGCAGGTATTTACTTATAAACCAAAGTTAATCAGAAAATTTACCGTGATGTTGGTGCTAAATGAAAAGACGTAGCGCTCAATCTTTGGTAAACGAGTTCATTGAAATGTAAGAGATACAACAATAGTTATACAATTGTTAGTTATATAACTGAAGTCAACTCATATTTGACTTAGTTCATTAAAATATGTTTACAATGTGGCACCGCAAAGCATGCAGATTTGGGTTAGATTAATTAGAGACTTAATTTGACTGTATGTGTTAATGTGAGAGTAAGTGGTTGCATGTCTCTGTATGTTGGCCCTGTGAATGCGCTGACCTTTCCAGGGTGTACCCACCTTCTCACCCATGTCAGCAGCAACCCCCAAATGATAAGTGGATGGATGAATGGACACTGACAATGCGTACAGTTGAATATTTGCAAATCATACAGTTATTATTTACATGTTAATTTGTTTGATTATTTACACCAGCTTCTTTAAAACTGTCAAAATGATTTACTGAATCTGCCACTTTGTTTCTCACACACCTTTAACTCGGATTATGTAGCGTAACCGGGAATTATTGGAAAGACACCTGTGTCCCTCTTGCTGATTAGTCTCATCTACAGTGATCCAGCCAACACACATCGAACCCTCACATTACAATATTTATCCTTTGGAGATACTAAATATGTGACATGTATTAAATGACAACCCATCAAATTGTTTACATAATAGGCCATGGCAATCCAGTCACAATTTTACCCTTGCCTGTATATAGAGTGTCGATTTTTCTGTGACTGGAACTGTTAATTGTTCAATGTTCAAAATGTTCAATTTCTGGTGACTTGTAGGAGTAGTCAGTCTAGACAGTACCCCAAAGAAAATCATGGTTTATTATATATATGTAAATTTGCTCATTACTGGCCATTACACCAACTTCATTGTTAAGATCAGTGTACGCAGCGACACTGGCAGCCACAACTTTTAAATAGGTCTTTAAAAAGAGGAAAGCGTGTAGACAATATGGTTCATTTGTGGACCAAGAGATTTAGAGCTTTATAAAGAAATGGTTCTTGTGGCTTCACCTCCTGCCAGAAAAAATAAAAATTCCAGTAAAGGATTTTTTACATTGTAGACCACAAGCCATAGCAATCATGAATCATGAAATGAATTTACCTTTTCAATAAAATCTTATTTGAAAAGCAAGGGCCATCACTCTTTCTGACAAATAATTAAACTTAAATATACCTTTGGCGAATATGATGGAGGCCTGCCAGTCGAACTCACATCAATAACTAGTCATTCACACACTCACACACTCACACCCTCAGGGCATGTCTGAGTTTCCATATCCGCCAAAAATCAGCCACCCTTAGGCACTGACGAGACGCCGTGTTACGGGAAGCAGATACACCCTTTCCCTCCTTCCAGTCAAAGCGCTGTTAACAAAGTCAGAGTTCGCAGACCCACTCCCTGGGGTCTGCTAACTTTGTTCCCTTGATCTGAGACCCAGGAGGAATGAGAGTCTACGACACAACCAGCTTCATCTGTCTCATCTCTCTTCAGAGTTATGATTAAAGGAGACCCCCCACCCTAAGAACCATGTTACCACATCAAATACAGGATCACACAACAGGGATCACACACAAATGTCATGATTTGTTGATTCTCATAATTTTTTCCACACTCTTGTTGAGGGTTAAGAACAGAGATGGTCACACCTTTTTAATCACAAATATACAATTGTAAATATTGGGTATATAAATAAAATTTGATTGATCGATCGATTGATTGATTGTTGGAGTCTGTTGCTTTTTAAGTGCATTATGATGTATCAAATCAAGATACTCACACTCCCCTGACACACTTTACTCTGTACAGCCTATCAGCACCTTATTAAATGAAAGGGCATACATGTCTAGTTCACCTCTCGACCTCTGCACTGACAGGAGGAGGGGAAGGAATTCCCAAAATGCCGGAAGAACAGCTGTTCCATCCAAAGAGAATGCTGACCCAAGTATAGAAACTCCCCACATCCTGCTGCATGGCTGTTACTTGATTTTATGCACTCTGGCGTGTCACTCAAACAGCAGGCTGACTCGTGTTCCAGAGAGCAATCCATCAGCCATAAATATTCAGACAGCACCTCATAGTCGAGGATTTACACCTGACGGAACAGGTGTGAGATCACAGAGTGAGACAGAGAAAGTGAATGAATGAATGAAGGGTGAAGGAGCTGGAGGTGAATGAGCATGAGTCAGGCCGGGTCAGACAGGAAAAACTATACGCTCTGTCATTACTGCATCGCATCACGCTGAGCAATTCCTAAGAAGCAGTGACAGGTGGAGCAACGCTGAGCCTTGACGCTCTGCTTTCTCTCCGCACTGTTGATTTCATGCCAATCTCCCCTCGTCAACAGCAGGCTCCTCAGGGCCTAACCTCTGTCTTATCGCTTGATCTAGTGAAACAAAGGAAACTTGGCTGGCTCTATCATGCAGCCAGATGCTGTTGTGTTAAATGACAGGAAACAGATCATAACCCAACACTAGTGAAGAGCTGTCTGTGGCACGAGCAGGGAGACCTTATCCACTGGTGTGTTAGCCCTTGAGGAAATGGAGGCCAGGAGTCATCATGCCGTGCTCCAGACACGCCGGCATCACACACATGATCCAGACAAAGGAAGGCTGGGGCAACACAGGAATCATGTGTGACTTGACTTTGTTATACGAAACAGGCCAAATTCTTTGGTACAAAACTGACAGAGTGTAAAACCTTGATTGTTTGAGCAAACCAATATGTCTGTGTGGTTTTGAATTCCATTTTTCCAGATTATAAGCATGCAGAGGAAAAAAGGGAAAACAACTCATTGGGGTGACTGCCATGTCTGCTGTGGATTTTCTTGGGAAACTCAGGTTTCTTCTGCTGGTTAAACTTCAGAACACTCTTTTTTAGTCACTCACTGAATTAATCAAAACAATTCTCTGTGGACTGTGCAGCCATATGCTCCAAGTTTGATGTGGGCTGCACCATACAAATCCCCTTCAATAGGAGAATCATTTGGACATTTTTTGAGCGCTGTTAAATAAAACACATACCGGAACGGGCTTAGTGTAACACATGACATCATTAGACTAATGAATTTGGTTTTTGTGATGGGGATATTGTGGCAGTTTGAGGTACTGTGTGTGTGTGTGTGTGTGTGTGTGTGTGTGTGTGTGTGTGTGTGTGTGTGTGTAACTATGGTGAACAGAGGCCAGCAAAGAGCATAGTACATTTACATTACATACTACTGCTCAATAGACATGGATGTATTGGATAATTCATAAAGTAAACACATTCTTGGATTAGGAGGTCTCTCCAGAAGAACTCAGGGTGCTGTCGGATTCATTCGGAACCAGTTACTGTACTTAGGACTACTTCACGGATACTGATGATGTTGCATGATAGGAAGGAGAAATTATTGTAAGGTTACAGAAAAGTATTGTGAGGTAACGCAAAGCATATTGTGAGGGAAAGTGAAATTAATCCTCAACAAGATTCTTGCCATGACCCTTCAGGGGCATTGTATTTATCAGTGGTCTGTTTATTTTTGTATGCTTTATTAAATGTCCTCAGTAGTTTTCCATTCTGGTTATGGCATAAAGAGTCTCCTCACTGAATTTAAAACACAGACCATTTGCTCAGTAGGAGTAACGGAATGGAAACGTAAATGTGTTTGAGCACAATTTGACAAAACACAGAGTAGATGCACAAGAATCATCAACTTGGGCTCCTCTGAGGGTTGACAGAGCATAAACTAGGAGGCGTAAACAAGCACAACAATAAAAAAACTCTTATTAATCAGCCTTAATGATCGACCATTATGCATAATTACTGAGTAAACTCATTTGGAGACAGACGGTAACGTTTATTTAATCTCCTCTCTATTTCTTTGGAATGTGCTGAAAGTGGTGCTCGGCCTAAACAGCATGGAGTGCTTTCTCTGGGGGGTGGGCCGGTTTGACTTTGTTGAGTCACATACAGTCCAGGAGGCACAAGAGGAATTCAACCATCAGCAGGCTCGTACGGGGGGGAAGCAGGGTGTGTAAGAAAAGCAGCGAGGGAACTGAGTGAAGGTAGAAGTTTCTTGGCAGAACATAGCTTCACCACCCATTTCCTCTTTACACAATACCATCATAAAACACAACTATTCGGAACATGTATACAAAATAGCTGAAGGAAAATAGACTCCATGAGTAATACCTCACCTCTTCTCATCACAGTATCCAGCCAAGATGATGACGAAACCACAATCGCCATCAACCAGCCTGTCAGCAGCTCTCTAGCATGTAAGAAAGCAATTATACACATCTCACTTAAGACAATTGAGGTCAGATGACGTCTTAAACATCAACAGGAGGATGATCTCAGATTGATGTTGTTCGCTATGCTAACCTTTTCTCATACGGAGGAAGAGAGCATACCACAGGCAAGGCCAAACCCAAGCCTGTTGCCCTGGCCTCCGTTGTGCATGCAAAGGGCCACTCTCTCCTCATCTGACCCTGTTGTTATTTGCTGCTGTTGATGGAAAATCTTATGAAGCAAGGCTCAGTTTCACCACAAACCCAAACTAGTGGAGACCGGAGCACAGAGGGAAGAGAAAAAGTAAGAAGGAGGAGGGTTCAA